AAGAATTTTTGTGGTGGTGGGGCACGAGTTTTCATTTAGTTAAATCTTTACTTAGGTTTAATCCTTTTGATGTCTAATAAAGCGGGCTTTGTCTTAAAAGAGTACTGCTTTATAATTCTTTAAGTCAAATGTCCTGCCACGGGCCGACAGCTCTTTGCTAGCAAATGACCCACTGCGGGTACCTTACATAATTGTACAACTTGACAATTGCCCGGGGAATGAGCAGGCTTGGAATTTACAGAGCCATAAAGTTTTGAAATTGTTGCTATTTGCTGGAATAAATGGCTGATATTGAAACTAAATTACAGATATATGTACTTCTTGTTACAGTTGAGACAAAGGCTAATATATTAGACTTGTAAGATATTTAACATGAAAATTTTATGAAAGGACTATTTTTAAATACTTGTAGATAAAAAGTGGATTGATAAACTTTTCTTGTGATAGTGTTATTGATTCGCGCTTTCGTTTTGAAGCATTACTGTAGCTTTGAAGGTTTCTGTTGTATGGTTGTCGTTTATTTTTGTACTGGTTGCCAGAGGAAGCAAGTCAAACTAAAAAACAAATACAGATTTTTTTAAATATTGAATAACATTTGAGAGTTTTTAACGAAATTTAACTTACAAGTCGTTGGGCATTCCATACATCTTTTAGATCTTTTCGTGATCTCTGGGTGACCGTTATTTGAATATCAGACTCTTCGCGACTTTAAATAAAAAGAGGGGTTGGTCCCCAGACTCCCTGGGACAATGCTCTGGTGCTAAAACTATAAAACACTAAGTGCAAATCAGTTATATACAGTGCGTGTCATGTCTATGCCATACATGCGCCTATGTTTGTACAGTGTATGTAAAAGCCAGCCTATACAAATTATTTTAGTCGACATGAATCAGTACAAATGAACAGTGACTCCCCAATATTTAAGAAGCTCATCACATAAAATTATTTTCTTGTAGACAGAGTATTGTTTCTTGTCTTTTTTTACATCAGTCAAACTCGGCTCATGGAAGTCATGCTTTAGACAGAATTCCCTCTCCCAGGTGGTATGTTCTTTCTTTAATGATGTACGTGTTGTCAATATCTTCGTCTGCATTCGTGAAAGGAGGTTTTGGTACTTCTCATTGTAAAAATGACTTGTTGGGTGACATTTCTGATCTTCTCTTGCTTTATCCAAGCAGAAGACATCATCTGTCTCTCCCAAAATTGTTGCAATGTTTTTGCAAAGCTTTGTGGCAAGTTGCTTACTGGATTGTTGAAATTTATCACTTGAATTTCTGTGGAC